TTTTCAGGCAATGCAGGCAACCTCCCTTCTTCATCCTAGTCTTCCATTCAGCCTCACTGATCCGGATGTCCACCCAAGGTTTAGTACTTGCGTCCTCCGCTTTGGCTGGGATTTTGGCTCCCTTCGTAAATGCGACAAAGCTCCTCACTGAATTCCGGTTTTGGCTTCCCTTAGCATGGGCAGTCTTTTTGAAGGCACTGAATTTTTCATCTTCATTGTTTATATCAAATTCTTTAGTGGAAGAGCAGGTTGTATGTCCTGTTCTTGGCCATCGCCAACAGTGGGGTCATCTGCTTTGACCTCCCCTTCCCCTTCCATCAAGTCGAGCGCAGCTAGACGGTTGCTGCCACGAAACCGTCCGCGAACAAAAGTATTTTTGCTGCTTGTTGCTGTAAGGAGGTATCCTGCCTCCAAACTGACTACATCCTTCATCAAGGAAAACCAGTCAGTGTATCCGAAGAAATCTCTGCCTAGGCGATTGGTTAAGTGTGTAGGAATCGTACCTTTAACTACATCCAAACAGGATTGCGCAGTCAGCTCTAATCCTGTCATCGCAAAGAGCTTGCTGATATGCAATTGCAATTTGTGCATGGTGCCCTGCCACTTGCTGCGCATAAGTTCATCAAGTTGTATCCTTACTCTAGCTGCAGTATGTGGGTCTTTATATTGCGCTGCTAATATATCCTCGAGAGTGGCAGCCAGAGTGACGTCAAGCCACTAAGATAGGTTGATCTTGGAATACCCAGCTTGCATAGCTTGGACTTCAAGGAAGCCTCTTACGACAGCCTCGACGTTTGTCCCTAGGATAAAGGACTGGTTCACTCTTTGAGTGCCCTGGACCTCAAAGTGGGCTCTCATGGAGCTGATTCAGGACTCTACATCTTCATTGCCATCATATCTAGACGGTATCATCGTCGCCTTCCTGTCCATGTATGGACTGCTATAGCTGGGACCAGCCATTGCTGGATCCGAACCCAAGGTTGCGGCAGTTGTCGAACTTCCTGCGCTGCCGCTTATAGCGGCAGTGGGAACTGCACCTGTCGCAGGTCCTGACTGATTAACCACCAAACTCAACGAAGAAGACTGAGAAGGAGAAGAATGGAGAGGTGCAAAGGTAAAACAGGGAAGCGAACTTGAAATTTGGGCCTGATGCATGCTTGTCATTTGCTGTAACTGATCGGGATGCTCCCTGGCCATTTCAGCCATTTGAGTACGCATCTGACGCATTTCCTCGAGTAGTTGGGATTTCACACTCCAGAGTTCGCCGAGCAAATGGTACTTCACAATGGCACATACATACACAACCAGTTCTTTCTTAAGGTCTGCATCAGGTATAGTTGGGTCTATTTTGAACATAGCCTCAAGTTCATCAGCGGCTGTTTTCCGCTTTGCCTCTTCCGCCTTTTCCTCTTCAGCCACCTCTTTTTGATAAAGGGCCTCATACAACGGTTTATCTGCCTCACACGCTGCATCCATATAAGGCTTTAACATATCAGACAGCTTAGTTGATGCCATGTTGGAACTACTATCTCCTTCAGTTGCTATGGCTTCTTCCTCTCTTTTCTCTTGTCCGCGCGTTGTAACGGGCATAAAAGGATTTCAGTAAAGAAACGAACTGAAAGTACAGAAGAGAAGGTAGAACTCCTAGTCGGAGCGGCAAATATTTGGACTCGAGAGCAACCAGCACACAAAAAAAAAAAAAACTCTGAAGAGAGTTCTGACTCCGCATTTTAGTCCGGTCAGACCAAGTACGAGGTCCCCTCGAGCCTAATCCAATCGGCACCGTCAAAGTACAGCATATCAGACTACAAGTAACATCATACAGCAACGGAGAATTGAGTGGTGTATAAGGTGGGTGCATGTCCAGCATTGGATTGTGCATCATCAGTCCGACAAAGCATCCCAGCCGAGATCCCCTCAGCAGCGAGGGCTCTAATAAAAAAGAAAAGTACCGTATCCCAAACAGTAAAGAGAGCAACACTTCGTCAACAGATATGGGTCCTAGGGGCCCTTCTTGTTTGGGCCTGGTCCCACAGAGTCCCAACGGGCCCCACGTAGGTCGTGAATGAGTCCCAAGCAAGGAGAGTACCTCAAGGTCCGACTTTTTGCCTCTACCATACTGAAAAACGAATATAAACTTCAAGAGAGAACCTACAGACCACATCATTCAGAATGAAAAGACAAATCACTGTAGAAAGATATGGCATTCAAAGCAAGATACTTCATCGCTACATCCATCAGGTTAGTAAGTAGTTTGCACAGCAATGCACACAACCAAGACTTCAGAGGAGTAGGAAAGAGACCCAACAGGACAAACAATACCATGCACGCATACATGGGCAACCCTTAGGTGCACGGCACTTGCCTGAGTGGCCCGGACTCTGAGATGCAGTATAACTCACTCCCCTTCCCCATATGGTCCTCCTAACCCTATTCGCTACCTCTACACTAGTGTCCTATCATGTAGGAGGGTCTCACTCCAACACCAAAGTGCAACGCCGGATCCCCCTGTCGATGCTGAAGAACAAAGTAGCAACTTGCAGTCCGTAGATACAGAATGGCTACCTCCCTCAAGATCGCCTACTTGGGGGAGCCCCTCAAGTCACCAAGATTCCAGGTGCGAGTGCCTCTCCCTGTCGACTCTCGCGACTTGTCGCATGAAGTCCTCTTGATGTGTCTCGCCACCACATACTTACTCTCAATCAACCTGGTCAGGTTCGGTGTCGACCCCACACGACCTAACCAGGTGGGGGCAGCTTCCCTAACCCACACTGCCCCACTTCCCACTTCGGACCAACCCTAACCCTAAGTGGTTAGCCCTAACCACTTAGGTTAGGGTTAGGGTGGATAAGTCAACTCTCACCTGCAAGTAGAATCTGCTCGGATACCAATGCTATGATGCTGGCCAATTTCGAAGTACACATTCATCAGAAAGTACAATGTCATCCACTTACAAAAAGAAATGAATGAACTTGAGAGGAGAGAGAGGATTAGAAGAAGTAGAAAGAAAGAAGAAGAAGAGGTACACCAGCATCGACCAATCAGAATGCTCTTTTTCACCAATCACTCTCCTCCTCCTCGTCTCCTCCTCTCTTATTCATACAAGAAATAATAGTACAATGTTGAATGGCTGAACCAGAATCAATGTCTGACTCCCTCTTCTACTGCAGGTATCACTTGAGGTCCACCATAGCCATGGCCGCCTCTCTTACTCTTCACTCTCATAGGCCGAGGCTATGGCGGACTATCAGGGTATGGCCCTGCTGTCCAAAGGACAACCCGAAGCAGCTACGGCTTCTCTAGCTCAGGCCGACACCAAGGTGCTAAAGATGGCAGCCACCATAGCCAGGTAAGTACCTGTGGCGCTCCCACCTATAGTCCCGGTCTTCTTCCTCCTCCGTGTCCTTGCTCCTTCCCCAGCAGCGCTGCTCCAAGCCAGCGCTGCTCCAGCCAGCACTCCAACCAGTGTGTCGCCAAACTTGCACACCGACAATGAGGCCGGGCTCTTTGCTCGGCCTGGAGATATAGCGGCCTGCTTGCCTCTTGGGTGGTGACTTCCAGGCCGTTTGGCCTTCCAAACAACCGGTACCTCCTCCCTTTTGGAGGGAAACATCATTGTTTACTCTGATATTGCCCATACAGGCCCTAGACTCAGATTGGTTGGACTGGTACTCACCTAGACCTAGCCTACAACTACTGGGCAACTTCTGTCTTCTTCTGCTCGGCCTCGGGTACCCGGCACATCTTCCTCTACAGGGTGTGATACCGGCCTACCTGCCTCCTTCCCCGCCACTTGAGTGTTTTCCCCACTGCAATCCTCAATGTCATGTCCACAGGAAAGTATCGGCAGGCCGAATGAACGAGCAAGTGCCCTTGCGGGTCACGCACACACTCAAGCCAACAAGCACTCAGACAGACATGCAGACCAGCAAGCGCGCACACACACAGACTTAGAGAACTCAGTAGCAAGCGGGAAACACAGCAAGGCATTCAGTCCATGAGCAAAACTCAGAAATCAGCTGCGTGTCTTAGTCCATGTTTGGTCAGGTCATCACATGGACGGATATCCTGCAAAACGGTGCCCCAGCACTCCGCAAAAGATGCGGCCATATACAAGCCGCATATTTGTTTTTCAAGCAGGGAAAGGTACACTGGTGGTTTGATTAGTTGTCTAATACCCCCACCACCCCCACCGTAAACCAAAGTATCTTAGCAGATTTGGGCTGTACGCGGCATGCGCAGCACGGCCCCGTTCTTGGAATTTTTAGATACCGAGCCCATGGCCCTCTGCCAACTGGTCCACCAAAATGGTCAGCTGAGGAACAGTCAGCGATCGGCTGCTATGCTACTCTGATTCTACCTGATCATATGTCACAACCTGATCATATGAATGCTACTCTGATTCTACCACGCTCAAAACTCCACAGGTTGTCAGTTCACACCACCATCGATGTTGAGTGGCCCCCCATGAATTACATTGACGGTGCATGCAGTTCGCTTGGTGAGCAGCTGCTGGGCAAGGTTTTCTCTCTCCCCTTCCTCTCCCCCTTTTTGCCGAGACTTACCTTCTGTCAGTTAGCCAGGTGGAACTCGGGCTCTCTGTTGCTTGATTTATCTGTAAAAACATGCAGATGCATCCTGGGATTTGACACACTGATACAGAGCCCGACATAAGAGTATCAAAAACATGCCACTTCCCCTTGGTGCCGCTTTCCCCTCATTCCCAGGTGTCACTTCCACAAACGTTAACTTACATCCCCTGTTTATCACAATCAATATCTTACATGAACACCATTGACCTCCATGCCACATCTTATGACTCTGTCTCAATGTCAATGCAACGAATTAACTTTCTCACTTTGCCGTTGCTTGCAAACTTTACAGTTGTCTTCATGTTTATCACATACAGTTCTGCTAGAGCCATGCGTCAGTGCGCACTGCCGACATCCAGACATCCACCTCACCTACTGGACAAAAAAGGCAAGAGGAGCATAGCTTACCTATGAAATCAATACAGTCGTCAAATGCAATGGTTTTATCTTCCTTCAAACAGAAGTAGGTAAATGAGTTCTTGTACAGATTCTGACATCCAGGAACAGTCTGCATGCACACACACAAACAAACACACGCACAGACACATCAGCACAGACAGAGAAAACTGCACTTGTTGCTTCTTTCCCGAGCTCTAACCATGTTCTCGAATGCTTCAGAGTTTCGTAGGAGCTCACATACAGGACCACAGCAGGTTATAGAAGTGTCTTACTTATACCCCTGTGTCAGGACCCCAATTACATAATAGTTACCAGTATGGATTTGGGATAATTACTGGACTGAGCCGAATCTCCAGTTCATTCACACCCAAGAAAGGGACTGAGCTGAATCTCCAGATCATTCACACTCATATAGTTGATACAGACGATAAGACCAACGAGGCAAAAGGATTGCTAGAATGTCTATTGCTACCCTTGTACAGGCTTCACCCCAAAGCCATTAGCGTAACAACGGATGGAATCGGAGTGTGACATAGAAAGGGAAGGGCTTTGACAATGGTGACAGACATTGAACTACAGCACTTCCACATTGCTCATACTATGACCACAAGTGGACTTCCTGTAGCTTCGCCCTCAACTTGAGAGCATGCCAATGTTATGATCCTGCCCAAATCTTGATGCGAAACTCAACTTTGAGAGTGTCATTCATCACAAATCACAAAGAACTCGGAAGAAGTGGAAAGGACAACAAAAGAGAAGAGACTCTGATTTCAAAAATCTCAGCAAACAGATCAAATCAGTACTTCTTCAGCCTTGGATCCACGCATGACCGCACACGGATTCAAACCGGCACCATTGGCCTCAAGAGCCAAGCATCGTAACCACTGCAGCCATGACACAGTGTTCAAAAGTGGAACCATGCTGGCCATGATATCCATCCCACCCTTGCGTGGCTGCAGTGCCCGTACTCCCTCACCCACACACAGGCACACACACAACACCACACATGGCAGTCTCTCACATGCATGCTCTTGATCTACCACATGACCCTCAACCACAATGGACCCAAGACCGCAACTTTTCTCTGAAAATGTGGATTTCTCAGTCTGTAACTATGCGTATCTTTGCACTACTAAGTAGTTGTCCGCAGAGAAAAAAGACCTGAGGGCTTTTCATGGGTTGAAGGACCAGTATATACAAGCCACACTTTGCCGTGGCAGGTCTGCACTGCACACCAAGCTTTGTCATGTGGCAGGGGGAGATTCGTTCAATTATGCAGATTGCGCAGGTGGTGGAGACTCATTGCGGTCTTGACCATTTCTGACAGGTGCCTCCGTGTTACAGTATGCGACTTCACACGGGCCTTCACAGGCCCGACACACCGGTTTTGGGGTACCCAGGCCGGCCTTGCCAAAGGCCAGGCCTTTTTCCTCCCGGTAGGCCCTATTAGGCCACCGGTTGGGCCTCAGCGCCAGCAGACCCAGGTCTGGCCCAAACGACAAACCGTTTGGGCCTGGCGGCGCTCTTGAGGCTGCCGCCCGCCGGGCTGGGCTGAACGGTCAGCTCGCCGGTTCAGCCCACGGCGCAGGAGGCCAGCATTGAGGCCGACCGGCCGCCGGACGGTACTTAGGCCGGTCCAGCGGCCATTCCTGCAGGTTGGAACGAGGAGCAGCCAGGAGAACGCTGCGCTATTTGGTTGAGCACAGCGCTAGGGACTGCAGCGCTAGTTTACCACACTGCAGTCCAGGAGGAACGAGGAGGCGAGGAGGACTTACCTGCGACAGTGGAGCGCCATAGCTCCAGCGACCTGCATCCGGACTCCCACCGCCGCCAAGACACCAGCTTGCATCCTGCAGGTTTGGCCTGAGGCCCTCAACAACTTCCCCTCTCCTCTCCTCTCCATCTTATTCTCTCCATCTCCATCTTCTTCTTCTTCTTCAGACTTCTTCTTCTTCAGATTGGAGACTTGATACGAGTTGGACAGAGATCAGTGTTGTACTTCAATATAAGAGGCTGTGATACTTACCGGATTCGAGAGTTGGAGATTGTTGGGCTTGATACTCGGCGGCATCACAGATTGGACACCGGTTACATTAGGACTCTGTACCTCCGACATTGGTGACTTATTGTCCACGACATTTTGATCTTGTTCGATGACATTTTGGACTACCATATCGGTGACCTACTGGATTCTATCTCGGTGACATCTGGCGCTGCCTACATCTCCCACCTCCTTCGTCTCTCCTCCCACCTTTCATCCGTGTATGGTTGTACGGGGCCTGAGCATCGTCTATGATTGGCTCAGACCCCACCATCTCACGATTGCTTGTGTGTTGAGTGATATCTGTACGAGTTCAGTCAATGTGAGTCAGTCCATTTATCAGACTTCCGCTGCATACATGCTCACCCTATATTGGTTGATCTTTGGTTCTGCTCATACTTGTTGAAGTACTCAACACTCCGGCTGTATTAAGTCCGTTGGCTCGACTATGCGCTCCGGAGAGAGATCATCTTCAGTTGCGGGCTCCATCAGGTAATCAGAAGACGGGTCATTGTTATTTGAGGCAGGGGAGAAAGCGGGACTAGGTGGATGAGAGAGGGGCGGGTCGGGCGGGTGAGAAATGGGTGGACCAGATGCAAGAAGCGGAAGCTGATCAGCAGCACTTGTGCTCAAACTGGCTGCTAGTTGTGCAAACGCTACACAAGTAGCTGCACCTCATGTCCGGTGCACACGCAGGCACTGAAGAAATCATCGCCACATTGCGGGCATCAGACTCGACATGTACTATTCCTGCCTAGCGTGTATTGAAGGCAACGATGTCATTCCGAACGGTTGCGAGCATGCCAGCGGAGCAGATCTCTAATCCCTGCAGGAGGCATGGTGATCATGCCGTTTGAGGATAAACGAGGCTGTTGTCTTGGAGGCGGCGGTGGATATGGAGAACATCCCCGCCGAAGAGGCATCTGCAATAGTCGATCTAACAAAGGATGTGTCCGTCAACGGGACCTTTGTCTCGGCTGATCCGACCATCAACGTGATGATGGTGATGATGATGCTGAGGTCGATAATGAAGAGAAGGCCTGCGAGGTGACGGAGGGGGAAGAAGAGAAGAGGAAGAGGAAGAAGTAAAAGATGGCAAGGGGAGTGTTGGTAATGGTGGTTGTGGTGCTTGTGGTGCTTGTGGTGCTTGTGGTGCTTGTGGTGGTGATGAAGATGATGGGGGCAGTGGCTGCTGCAGCAGTGGKGGGGGGGGGGGGGGGGGGGGGTGGGGGGGGGGGGGGGGGGGGGGGTGGGGTGGTGGGGTTGGTGGTGGAAGAGGAGGGGGCGGTGGTGGTTATGATGGTGGCAGTGGTGGCGGCGGTGGCGGCAGTGGAAGTGGCATACTTTCCGCCGCCGCTGCCATATTGGTAGGATGCTGGCCCTCCACCCTCACAGCGACTTTGGCCACATTTGTTGTGACTCGCCTGGTCTCCTGCCAGGCTGGCGTGTCCACATTAGCACCTGGCATTTCGGCTGGAATAACAGGAGAGGGTGGGTCCACCACATTTGGTTATGTGGAGGGCTGATGCTGCCTATGGTCAGAATTGGTGGCGGGCTGCGGGAAGTGGCCTATTGTATGTGGTTGTGCTGAAGACCTGCGCACAGAATTAGCATCCGGGAGTGGGTGAGCAATTGCCAAGGGCATACCATGCGGCGAAACCAGTTGAAAGCCATGTAAAATGAGTGGGTAGCCGCTGCTGCCGTCCGTGCACATATGCGGTCCAGCCTCTAGCCAGGACACTGGGGGGATGGGCCCTAATAAGCATTCGCGTCAGGGAAGTCACAGCAGCTTTAAAGTCGGCGGTGTTGTTACAGACATGTTCGAATCATGTTAGCTGCCCTGTGAGCACACCTGCAGTCTGATGAGCTGGGGCATTAGAGGGAGCACTGGGGTAGCGTATGACAGGGAATGTCCAGGCCTCAGCCTTATCAAACACGCCAATGCAGAGTGAGCCGTCTGGCCGAACCAGGATTCTTGCCCCAAGGAAAACACTCGACCCATCGTGCTCAGTAGTATGTGTGCGCATGTGTTTTAGATTTCCACCACAATAGCCCCTATTCCACCCAGGCGAGTAGATTTGAGTTGAGCCAGCCCAACAATTAAAGAATTTCACCTCTTTAGCAAGCAACATGAATCATAATAGAACCATTTAGAACTGTGTTTAGTGGGGTTTTCTTTGGGGCAACAGCTCCTCTTTTACTAAGCCTTGCACGTACAAGGCTACCCACGTTGATGGTTGTTAACCAGCAGCTGCCCACATCCCCGTGTGCCTTAAAGGCCCACTTGCGTGTTATAACAGGAGGCATAGTAAAAGGGAAGGTATGCTCCTGTGCATTTCACTTCAGATCTTCATACTCCTGTTCATTTCACTTCAGATTTTCAGCTTATACTTAGTACTTGTGCCTGTCCTTCGTCTTCATACTCCAGTCTTTGTGTCTGTCCTCCGTCTTCATACTCCTGTTCATTTCACTTCAGATCTTCATATTGTCTGTTCTCTTAATGATGCTCATTCGTATGTATTTGCTGGTAGCACAAAGGGGAGGGTGGAGGGAAAGGGATAGAAGACGTGGTTCTGAAGGAGTGTGGAGCAGGGGGAGGTGGAGTGGACAGGGCAGGAGAGAAAAATGAAAAGGCAGGATAGTGTATGACATGCAAAGCGCAGGGGAGAGGCATATGACGAACTTCGCAGAATTTAAATACTCACCGCTGGAACAGACTACTCTAGAATGGCACATGAGGGCAGTTAGTGTTTGGGTTGCATAAGATTTGAGCTGAGGAGCAGCTATTGCCTATGATACGTGGCCACCCATACAGACCGGACAGGAACATTTCGGGTGTGGACCGTGGACGCACCGCATCCAATTTCACAGTCACAGTGTCTGCATCAAATGGTGTGGCGCAGACAAATGTCACAGGCTACGTGGCTCCTACATGCTAGGAACACGAAGGCACGTTGAGCGCAATTATAGAGGCATTGCAGTTCCAGCCCCTGTCTAAAAATTGGAGATGCCATGTCAGGGTGCCTTACACGAGTACAGCACTGACGGTCGTCTTACATATGAAAGCA